TACTACATCGATGTTTCCTGTCGGCTCAATTTTCGAGTGGACTTTGCTGTTCTGATGAGCATGAACGGTGCGCACACACATAGAGCGGATAATACGCAGTGTCACACCACGGCAGCCGAAATTTCGGTGCATCTCTAATTATTAGCGACATCAGAAATGCATATTATATAATAGATGCTTTTTTGAACATTTTAGCAATTTAAAAATATAAAAAAATTATTTTTTTGCACCCCGGTTGGGAAACACTGAGCTAAAGCATAAAAATACATAATTTACACAAATCATTTTTATATTTTATGGCAGAGATTCCCAAACTTATGCATATTATATAATAGATGCTTTTTTGAACATTTTAGCAATTTAAAAATATAAAAAAATGATTTTTTTGCACCCCGGTTGGGAAACACTGAGCTAAAGCATAAAAATACATAATTTACACAAATAATTTTTATATTTTATGGCAGAGATTCCCAAACTCTTTTTGGCAGCCAAACCCCTAAAATATTACTTTAAGTCCCCCCTGAGAATATGTCAGTAATTTAACAAGGTTGATGGTCTCATGACATACAAGAAATAAATATATTTTTTATTATTTTGTAGTATTATTTAGAATATATTTATAGAAAGGTATATATCGATTTGTTTTTATTCATTCATTTACCTGTTTACATTTTTATGATTTAATTCATAGTTTGGGAAAACCTGTACGGTATGGAATAAAATGTACATTCTTTCAACTTCTTTGGTCGCTATGCTCTCCACAATACATTCTTGTATTGCTTTTTCCAAGAATCAAAATTTGGCCAAAACAAGATTAAAGTTGAAGTTTATTCAACTTTAATTCAATTCCATTCATTCATTCACGGATTTGCGCTACTGTCTTCACACACAGACGAAACTTACTAGAGAAGTGTGAAGTGTGACATAATATACCTGACGCTTGGTAGATTAGTTTGGAAATGGCGTATGTGAACTTTTGAAAAGTGTCTATGGAAGTCCTCAGTCTGCTTTGACAGAATCCGCCAGTTTCAGCCATCTTTCAGATGTAACCTGTTCACGGATTTGCGCTACTGTCTTCACACACAGACGAAACTTACTAGAGAAGTGTGACATAATATACCTGACGCTTGGTAGATTAGTTTGGAAATGGCGTATGTGAACTTTTGAGAAGTGTCTATGGAAGTCCTCAGTCTGCTTTGACAGAATCCGCCAGTTTCAGCCATCTTTCAAATGTAACCTTCTCTGATTCGGCGTAACTTGTATGTATGGCTGATGTTTTTGGTGTCTTCTGCATGCAGGTCCGTCTCATAAAGACTCAGTGGAGCAGGTGGAGACAGGCACACTGCTGGGTGTAGGTGTGGAGGACCAGCAGCAGAGGGACTCGGTGTCTCCTCACAGCGCAGACTCTCCCATGTCCCTCTCCAGCCCTCAACAGCACTCCTCTGCATCTTCTGCATCCTCGCTGTCAGGCAGTGATATCGTAAGCATTGTGTATAAATCTCAATTTTGAAAAATTTACCCTTATGACTGGTTTTGTGGTCAAGGGTCACATATGTATTTTATGTGAGTAGTCTGTTATGCTGTTATAAAGATCTCACTGATTTAATTTACAAACTATCAGAATTTCATCTTTTATCCAGTTTAATATCAGCAACTGCACCAAAACTGCATATTTTTGTATGAAACCATAAAAGCCTGATGTATCAAATTATACTCAAAATATAAAAATCATGTAATTTTAAGATTGTGTGTAGAGGTTCAATACACTGCTCCATTAAAAATTATAATAAAAAAATATATTTTTTTCTGACTATATGTCAGGCTTTTACAGGTTTATTATTCCTTAGATTGTCTTTCCCTCTCACATATTTGACTTCTGCTCCTTCAGGACTCTGACTCCACACCGTATGTCGCTCCACCTGTAGCCCCCATCCCTCTTCAGACCCTGGCACCAGGTCCCCTGCCACCAGTGATTCAGATGGGCACGGGCAAAGCCAGCATCGCGGCAGCACTCTCCATGCCTCCGGCCACCCAGGTGAGGGGCTGTGTTGGTTGGTAGCTAACTATGATGATGATGGTTGGGTAACGTCCACTCTGTTTGTGTTTCTCCAGGCGAGAGTGTCAATCCCAGGCAATCTTTCTCTCCACGCTCTACCTGGCAGACAGGTGTGTATGGCAAATGGACTACCCCCATACCTCCACATGCTCCCCCCTGCAGTCCCCCCAGCTCCCCCCAGCCCTCTGCCCATTCCCTACCACCATCCCAAGGTAGGCAGTGTCCCACGTGTGCTCTCCTCTACATGCTGTGTGTATCTTGACACTGAGTCCCTCCTCCTTCAAGACTACTAGTTTAATGACAAATTAAAGGGACGGTCCACTCCAGAATTAAATCTGTCACCATTAACTCACCCTCATGTCATTTGAAACCTGTTTGACTGACTGACTTCTGAAAAATTTTGGTTACCAAACATTCAGTTCCCATTGACTTCCATTATATTTTTTGACCGTACAGTGGAAGTCAATGGTATCTGAAACTATCATCTTTTGTGACCCACAGAATATAGACAGTCATACAGGTTTGGAGCAACATTATGGTGAGTAAATGATGGCAGCATTTTAATTTTAGGATGAACTATACTTTTAATTAAGGGAAAGAAATGTAGTGCCCAACTATGTCAAATCAGAGTCATCAACTAATTAACTTGCTCTGCCCACGTATCAATAATAGAAAAATACTAGGGAAAAGAAACTTAAGTTGAAAAAGATAAAGATGACTGATTTTTGTGCTGTCGCCTTTTTTTTATTATTTAATTATTGCAGTTTTCCATGGACCCTTTTGTAGTCTCTTGTGGCCTACTGGTGATCCTTTTTAAAACATCAAGCTAACTGACTTTTTGCTTTTACTGCATGTCAAAATTAAGAATGTATTTTTAATAGTATTTTTATATACACTACTGTTCAAAATTAAATACTACTATATATATATATATATATATATATATGTTTTTTTTTTTATGAAACATTTTCATTTCTTATGCTCATCAAGGATGCATTTATTTGATCAAATATACAGTAGAACAGTAATATTGTGTAATGCAATGTATAAAATATTTAGAAATAATTAAATAACATCTTTTTGAATGGATTTTAAAATGCTAATTTGCTGCTCAAGAAATATTTCTTATCGGTGTTGGAAACGGTTGTGCTGCTTAATATTGTTCTGGAAACAATGTTTGTTTTGTTTTTCTCCCAGGATTCTTTGAATAGAAGTTCAAAAGACCAGCATTCGTTAAAATATAAATCTGTTGTAACATTACAAATCTCTTTGCTGTCCCTTTTGGTCCGTTTAATGTGTCCTTGCTGAATAAAAATAATTATTACTTTCAAAAATAAGTACTGTCCCCATACTTTTGAATATGCATTTGTTCTACATTTTATATATTTAAAATCCAATTTCTGTGTATGCTGAGCTCTTTTTTATTTTATTTTTTTTTTCAGTTGCTAGCGTCGTCCTAATTTGCCCCATCTTGTCTTATCTCCTGCAGACAGGTCCCAAGTTCCCTCTGAAGGGCTTCCACAATCCCGCCGTGGTGCACAGTCCTGTCCTTTCCAACCGAGGCCACATCCAATACAACCGCCACACCTGGCGCCGCAGGAAGAGGGACAGCCTGCCGGCCAGTGTCAGCAGATAAAGACCTCACGCCTCCCCTCCGGAAGCTCCCTCTCCACTCCTCGCTTCCTCTTCCACCCTTCCGGTCCCATCTTAAAACGACGAGAACTCATTGAGCCCTCCTACTGATGGTGTGAGCACAGAGAGACCAGCGTTTGCAACCCAGCTCCTCGTTCAGTAGTTGTGGTGATGGTGGTGCTAAGTAGTTCAGTCTGCCACTGAATCTGTGCATGTATATGTCGACTCGTATGTTTTTTTTGTTTTTTGACCTGTGCAATCTTCCTGAGGAAGCTTCAAGAACAGGAACTGTTTTTTTTGGTCGTCTACTCCACAACTTCCTGGTTGACAGGTGAAACGTTCCTTTTTGTGTATGTTTGTGTGTGTGTTTCATGCTCTTTTGTTTTCTTGTCCACACATTTCGTTCTAAACGTGACACCTTTCACATGTGGGACGAACTGGATTCAGTGGATTTCAAGTGTTTGTTTGTTGTATCGGGTGAATGTTTGTGTAACGCTGGCTTCGAATCCTGCACTCGAGATGCCTCCAGAGCTCCCCACTGTATTGACTGTACACATCATGCAACCTTTACTTTTTTTGTTGTTTGTGCAATAACTTCATTTCTGTATTTTTGTTCACTCTGGAAACATTGAATTTTTTTGGTTTTGTTCGTTTCTTTTTTTAAAATGTTTTTATTTTTGTACCGTTTTTAATTTTGTTCGTTGTTTACAGATCCTGTCAGACAGGCTCAAGTCTGTTTTAAAACTGTTTTTGAGAATTTATATTCCCTCTTCCCCTTTTCTCGGCATAAATTGCACCTGGACGAGAGCAAGTTAAAGCGACCAGTGTCGATCTTGCCTACGGGTGCCGTCATTTCCCACTTTGTGTTGAGCTTCAGAGACTCGTCTGTTGCTTTTATTCGTCTCGTTTGTTTGTCTTTAAGGTTGTAGTTGTGTGGCATTAAGGCTTTAGGACTTGGATTTAACAGATTGAGAACCGATAGACATCGAAAAACGCTCAAGCTCTTAGTCTGTAAGCGCTTTCATTTGTGTGTGTGTGTGTGTGTGTGTCCTTTTTAAATCACTCTAGGTAAGTGTGAGACGTGAATTATTTTAGAGAAGCTCTAATGAACGTGCGAGCAGACTCCAGATCAGTGCAGCTTTATGCAAGGTACCCTAATCGGACCTTTTCGACTTCTGAACGGGCACCCGAATCAGATTAGTGGAGAAAGGGGAATTTATTTTGATTCCATTCTGGAATCTTGACGTGCATTTATTGCCAGGTACTTGCGCTAACATATGCCTTTTTGGTAATTACCTATTCCTGTACTGTACTGTATTGTGTTGTATTTTTTTGGGGGGGGGGGGGGGTTTTTTTTTTTTTGGGCACATAAAACTTTTTTTT